CATAACGATAAATAATTCAATTTCATAGTATTATTTCAATGAAAAAAGTGTAAATTGAATAAACTCTACTCTTTTGATTACAAAAAACATACACGTCTTTTTTTCAATACTGCCTAATGGTGATGAAATACTATGAAATATTGTGAAATCATATGTAAAATATGTGCGGATTTGATTTCAATTTTTTATATTTCTTATAATATTTTTTTCATTGTTTCGGCATCAATGCAAAAATAAACATGTCAGAGTGGATTTGAGCGCGAAAAAATTCGAACAAAATTCTGCCGTCCTTCTGCAGTGGCGCTCTACAATTGCACACTCCGTACTGCATAAAACCAATGAGAGATTATAACCGTGTGATAAGAACCAACAAAGAGGTAATTGACATTTGTTCAAAATTCCCGTAGTTTGAATAAATTCAGTGTGCATACCAACACATTCGACTTGAGCGAGACCATTTAATTTTTTGCCCCAACACAAATGCCATGGTGCGGCTGTTGACACTATATTTTCCTATATTTCGAATTAGTGCGCTGTTTAGTTCCGATTTGAAATGTTAAATTACATTGATGTGCCCTTTGACATTGGGGGCGCTCGCGTCGCCTCAAATGACTTTGACGTTCAACAGCCGCCACACGACTTGCACTTCCAATATATATCCTAGTGTGTATGAAAGGCTTTGACACATGCATGGAAAGCGTCTCGCATGAACAAAAAAAAAATTCCAATCCAAAAACGCTGTGTAAGCTACCTACCTGTGTGATCGAACGAGTCTCACGTTGACAGTATGGAAACCAGCCACTTGCATGTATTGGTGTCAAGCCGCTTGACTCAAGCAGTAAAGAAAACACCGGCAACAGTTTGTGTAAGCAGATTCGATGCCGCCCTTAGGTTTGTTGTTGCTTCTGTCTGCCACGCTAGCACTCGACGAACATTCATTTCTTTCGTTTTTCTCTCTTTCATTTTCCCATTCGTCCACATCAACAGAATACAGTGTGTCGCTGAATAGTGTGTCGTTTTTAATATGAACACACATTGTTTACTGACCACCGATTGTTTGACATTTCTATCGAATCGTCCAGAAGCACAAATTATGTGCTGATTTTTTTTAGTACTCTGCAAAAAAGTGCCCTGTATGTAAATAATTGTGTTCGTTGATGGTTCCAAGAATAGTTTTTAAGTAGAAAAATACATGACGAAAATTTAAGCAAAGAAAGTCGACACGGCTCAGAAACGTCTCAATACAGAAGAAACAATACAAGGTTTTACGCCAAATGAACAAGACATAACGAGATAGGAGAGAACGAGAGAAAAGGAGACGTGTACAAAAAATTGGCTAAAGTTTAAGTGCCATAGAATAAAACATAGCTCGAAGAATTCTACGTACCTGCCAAAAGATTTTAAGTAAGTTTTCCCATGAATTCATACATAAACCGACAAAATGTCGATTGAAACTGGTTTTGCTAAACACAAAGTGCTCAAAAGTCTCGATCTGACTTATATATTGAGAGTATCTTGTACAATTTTTGTTTGCTTCAAAAGTGTTTCATAGTTTTTTTTCGTGCCAATCGAAATTCGATTAACAAAGAGAGTGCATGGCATTTCCATTATAACAAATTTGACTCACTATGTTGAAGCATTCCTTTTTGTGTGCAAGTATTTCTTCTGGTGTTATTCTCTGTTTTATATAGAAATCGACTGTTTCTAATGGTCCTTTTCTACTTTTTTTTTTCTTTTCTTCTCTTCTCTTCTTCTTTTCTTTATCTGCCTTTTACTGTGCGATTCCATGTCACACCTGTCATTCTGCATCATACTCATCCCATTCCACTCTCACTAACTTCCATTGTTTTTCATTATCCCTTCCACAGAGCAACAGAGCAGAGCAACCATGAACAATTGGCAGGCGGAGTTGAGTCAGTACTTGACACAGGTGGAGCGTGAAACAAACAACTTTTTGACGAAAATTGATCCGGCGCTGCGTGATTCTGGCTTGGAATTCGACAAAAGAGTTCGAAAACACTTCTTGAATTGCGTTGATAAGCGGTAATTTCTATGTTATATTTCTCAATCTCATTCAAGGACCCCCCGTGTTCCTATACATAATAATGAAAAAGTATGCAAAAGTATATAATTTTGACATATCATGTTGATAACAGATTGGATAGTGTCCTCCACAAAATTGACATTGATCTCATGCTGAACGATCGGTCGGATGACTCATCAATTGATTCATTACCAGCCATTGGACAGAAGAGAAAGGATTGGGGCTCCGAGGTGAAAAACGCCATGACTAAGGGAAAAATTCCCGGTCAACTGATCCAGAACAAACCGATAAAACGTCTGCAGAACACGAAAAAGGATGTCATTCCAAAGCGCGTTTCAAAGGGTTGTCCAAGAGGAAATTTTAAGAAAAAAGGATTCAAGCGGTTCCAGTCACCACACTTGAAGAATCGACGTGAACGTGAACGTAAACGACCGTACCCTAACCAGACAACAAGCAGTGCATCGTCTTTGAATCACACACAAGTGTCTGTAGTTAGTTCAAGCAGTTTCAGCCAAACGAAGCTCAAGCACGAAGCTCACCCATACCTTGATGCAACATTCAAATCAATCAAATTGGCATCAGCAGATTCGGCCAATGCCTTAGGTAACAGACAGACACACTCGCTTTCGAATGACTGTCAGAGTGCTATTTTTGAAGCCAGGCCTCTACCAACAAATCATATTCGTCATTCCAAGTTTGATTTCCATTCATTTTTTTTATTTCTTCTTTCTTCTCTCCAGAGCAAATACACCGACCATCGACACATCTGTTGAACTTGCGATACCATTGCTTCCACTGTTCGACTACCCAAGGTTCATATGGTTGCATCGAAGATGTGTATGTGCACTGGCTAGCGCAACACCGCGATAAATCGGAAACGAAACCATTTCAATTCCGTGTGGTGGAGAATGTTGCATGTTACTTCTGCGATTTGATTGATTCGTATCCAATGGTGCTAGAGCATCAACAGATGAACCATCCGAATGAGTCGATAGTAATTGTCGCAGAATATGATCATACAAAATGCGCACTCTGCCCATATTCTGGCGATGCATTGATTGGCCACTTTGAAATCGAGCACGAGTTGCTGTTGCAACTGAATGACTTTAATCCGCTCGGTTTGGACGATGAAACCCTGAATAGACTTTTGTTGGTCGACGCTCAGAAGCGGTTCTGTGGGCCATGCTACAAATTCTTCGACACACAAGTAGATGCGATTGCACATCATTCTGTCAAACATCCAGAGGATACCATGGAATATGAGCCAACAAATGACGGTGAAATCTTGTATCTCATTTGTCCATGTCAAGCAAAAATCGACTATACTGAATATTACAGTCACATTCTGGGACATTTTCGTGAATTCGAGTGTTCACAATGCAATTTCCAAGCGAACACACTGATTAATTTTGTCGAACACGATAAAAATACCCATCAGACAAGCACATTGAAATTCCGATGCATGGAACTGTCCGATCAACTGATGAAGTACTATTTTGCTACGAGCATCGTATTTTCCAACGGCCTGGTGCTCATTATGCACAATGTGCTGCGGACGAAATTCGACATTTCCAATAGCTTCAAAAACGTCATCGAAAAAGTGCTGGGAACGAAAAAGGACAATGAACCAAAAGTCAACGGTCGAGAAGAGAAAACCCGTGAAACGAAGAAAATGATGGAAAACGTTCGATCAGACAAATCATCGTCGTTGATGTCACCGAAAACGAAGAAGCGAAACTTAACCGCCCAAAATCGTTATTCAAGCGATTTGGCAGTTGAGGGTATTCCACCGATTGAACGAGAAAATTTGCAAGCGATCTTTTTGGCCATTTGCAAGAAGATTGGAGCGAAGATTGTGCCAGATGATATCATATTCATTCGCCGATATCCATATCATCAACATAAAATTGTTCATGTCCGCCTTGAAAAACGTTCGAACAAGATCCACATTTTGGACAAAAGACGCAACCAAGATTTAAAGGCAGCCTCATTCATCAACTTACCACCCACACTTGAGTCAACACAAATTTTCATCAATCCCTACATGACAAAATACTTTTGCTCTCTATGCAAACTGGCTAAAGAAGCCGTGAAAAAGAAGAAGTTGTGCTTTTTCAACGTCGACGAGAAAGGTGTTTTTATCAAGCGCAAACAATCCAGTCATGGAACACACATTCTCTCTGAAGATGAACTGTTCAACTATATCAAACACTCGAAAAATCAGAAGGAATGAAATTGTGGTGGAGCTCAATTCTTCACAATTGGACGCGACAGATGAGTGGACGTCACAGATGAATTAATGAACAAAGCAATGGCCAATTTTAGAAAAATCAATACAATAACATGAAGAATAATTGAATCCAATCAATTAATTGAACCAAATTTTCTTTTTATCGTTTTATCTTCTGAATTTGAGAAAAAATTATAATCATTTGATGAAATAAGAAAAATATTAATTAAAGTCACGAATATCTTGTATTTTTCAACAAAAGTGTTTCCATTCATTCAGGAAGCTATGAATGGCTCATGACACAAACCTGGAAATGGCAATGAACTAAACAAATTTTACCTTTTTCCATTAAAATTCCGATTAAGCTAGAAATGGCTGGAGAAATTGATACGGTTTTCATTAAAAAATAATTGTTGGTTTTTATTGTTTCGACATTTCTTTTCAGCTCTGTTTTATTCCCCAATTTTTTTTATTCTTAGCTCAGCATATTTTTTATAAAGATTTTTTCTGTGTTTTTCAAAATAAATGGATGAATCTGAATAAATTCTACTTGTGTTTTGTTTCGATACATTTAATGTTTCGTATAAATTTTTGGAATGAAAGTTTTCTTTTTCTTTTTTGGCTAAAAAAGTGGATTTGGCTTTCGATTAAATGAATCATTTTTCGTGATTTGATCAGCCAAAATTCTTTCGAATTGATTGATCGTCGAGACTTTTACCGCAATCGATTGAATCCAACCGTTTCATTCCGACCAAATCACAATCCATTTCCATTCCAGACCATTTTGTCGCCAAATAAACTGTTTTATCAACGTAAAGCAATACTTTTCGGGCACCAGGTAATTGTTTACGTTCTTTGTTCAATTTGCGCACATCGATGATGTCTGTGCCAATCAGTTGTTTGACTTCGATTTGCTGTAGCTTAGCTAAGCCGCTGATGTACGCCAAAATGTCGACGGGACTTACTCTGGTGAAGATGGCTCGCTCCAGATTGATGAGTGTGCTGATTTCGTGGTGGTTGACTTCATCTGATCCTAGGGACAACGCTTTCAAATTGGTCAGACCAGCTGCAGAATCGGCAGTAAGTGAAGAAGTGTGCAGTGTCTCGATTTTGTTGAAACGTTTCACTTCATCTTTGTTCAGTTCATTCACGTATAGATGTAAACGTTTGAAAGAGCCCGTGTGTCTGATGATGGTTTGAGAAATTTTTTCGTATATATTCGTAAGATAAAAGGTAATCGTATCAAACCCATTCATCAGAATGATTAAATCATCCAGGTCAAGTTTGCAATCTTTGATAGGGCCCACTAGAAAAAATTGTCCATTTGTTGTAAACTTTCGAATGCTTGGATTCATCTCGAAAAAGCGATTCAATTCAGCAAGTCGTGCTGTCAACAAGGATCCATACAATGTGAAGCATTTAAGGTTTGGATATTCACGCAGCAACCAACTATTATCGGCACCAATTAACGGCATTCTGGAGTCAGCTAGATCAACGTTCGCATCGGTATAATAAACTCCAATCGTCAAACTGTTGAGATTTGGACAAAATTTCAGGAAATTTTCGTAGAAATCGCCATTCAATGTGCATCCATACAGTTCCACCTCTTCAACGTTGGCTAAAATGTGCTTGATACATTCGACCTTGTTGCATGTCAATTCCATGTGGTGAAATCCTAGATTCTTCACTGATTTGAAGCTTCTTGACTGTGTAAAGACAAACGGGCCCATGTTGTTGGATCGAAATGTCAAATGTTGGATAAAATCGCAAAATCCATTCATTTGCACCGTGTCGATGTAAATACCGTCGCTTCCGCATACGACGATGACTTTCGGGTATGTTTGCTTGAAGACATGACCGGCAACTTGCTCCAATGTTGTGCACGATTGACCAAATGAATGCAGATCCACAAGCGATAACCAATCCAATAGCTCTTCGCAGCAATCGATGTCAAGCTTGAATATCTGCGGTGACGCTTCGACATTGGGTACAGCAGCTACGGCCACCTGATTGTTGTCCTCTCTTTCATCGTTCGATTTTACTGGTTCAGCCATGACCTATTCTTCGCCCACGACGTTCGATACCTTTTGTTCCTATCGACTTGTTATATGTACTTTCGACTGTATTGCGATTGAATGATCGGATCTGAATGGAAACGAAATTTGAAAATAAAAACTATCAACATTTGCAGATTGTATGGTCTAATTTGGTTTTTGTTCCATTTTATTGGCTGAAAATAGTAAATATTGCCCATTACCGCGATTTATGTTACACCACATTTCAATGACAACGCAATAGAAAAAAAACCAAGCGCTACATTTTGTGCTTGTCATTCGACCGATTGAAGTTAGCTACAGTTCGAATCATTGCAAAGGTTGCCGTTTGAATTCAGTTCAATTGAATTGATAATTGCGTCGGTTGAATATTATTTTAGGAATGTTTTTTTTCTTCAAATAATAATCATTTTTCTTCTTTTTCCTGATCTTAGTTCGTTTTCCTTCATTCCAATGAGATTTCTCAATGCTTCGACGATAAATATAGTCTGATTTGATTCGTGATTGTGACTGCGTGATATGCCAGTTGATTTGGAAATGTGCCAAAGTGACAAGTGTTACATTCCAGTTAATTGGAATGCCGCACATTCATCTGTCATAAAAACCAACACACAGTGCTAGATACACATTGTGCGATTGATAAACATTGAAGTGAAAAAGCAAAGCCAGCAAACAATTATTTTTCGTGCATGTTTATTGTTGACATATCATTCGTTGAATCAGCGACAAATTGTTTATAAGATTTGATAAATTGGCTGGTGCTGAATCTGTCGAACAAAAAGAAACAATGTACATGAAGTGATATTGTTTGTTCCTTTCATTGGGTTTTAGTTGTGCCAAAAGCAAAAATTGTTTGAGTGGCAGCAACTAATTTGTGTATGGAGAGTCATCACGGAGACGATCTGACAATAAATCCAATAAAAAGTTGAACCAGAGTGAGTGACTTTTGAACTCAAAAATTCTCTTTGTCACACAATATAGTTACCGTGGACATAGTTGCCAAAGGCAATTTTCCTGCTCGAAATGAGTGTGACGGACGAACTACAACAGTATTTATCGCATGTGGAACGGGCGACGCATGCATCATTACGGAGGATTCAAAGAGCTCTTGAACAATCCGGATTGAACTTTGACAAAGAATTCGTCCATCGTTTCCAACGCTTTGCAACAAATCGCATTTATGAAGCGTACGACAGTTTTGAAGTTGATGCCACACTTCGTGTTCAAAGCAATGGTCCACAAGAGCGGATGAAACGTGGCTACAATGAATCAGAGGATGACATCGAAAAGCGAAAGAAGGCCAGATCAAAAAGTCCATCAAGAGCCAGTAGTTCAAGTGATTTCATGGGAGTAGCTGGATCGTCAAACGGGAATGGGACACGGACTGGACAGAAGCATGTGGGTACTGAATCAGACGTATCATCATTTGACAACAACGATTTGGCGATGAATTGGCGCTGCATGGAACGAAACGAAATGTACACTTCAACGCCGAGGTCAAAGTCACATTCAATGCATGGATCCATGGAAAATAGCGATGGAATGGCACGTATAATCAATGGATATGAACAATCTGACAAAACCACAGCCAACGAACTGTCAGTGTACCAGAACCAATGCGATGAGCTTGATCAAAACCGAAGCGTTGACTCGGGTGTCAATTCGAATGGTAATCCGGCATTTGGTTTCGGTGAGTCATTGAGTCACGTTTTTGGATTGGGTCAAGCATTTTTGGATTTTTTTCCTTGAAAATGTCTCCAATTTTTGCTCCAGTTCGTCAAAACTAATGCAGAAACTAAAGCAATAATTTTTCTACCAAATTTAGATGATTCACCAATACTACCGCATGCACTGACATTCACATGTTTCCATTGCGCATCCGAAGCAAACACAAATGTTGAATGTTTCAATCGCATCGAAGCGGTCCACGCCCATTGGATCAAGTCACACTGGTCTCAGGATGACGAACCGTTTAAAGTTTGCATCATCGAACGTGTCAATTGTTACTATTGCGATGTTGGTGGCTCATACCAGAAAGTGATTGAGCATCAAAAGAAAGACCATGCCGATAAACCTACAGTGATTGCGGCTGGAAACAAGCAAACTTGTGCACTTTGTCCATACGAAGGATTGGCATTGATCGAACACTTTCCAACTGAACATAAAAATCTCTTGCAAACACATAACCATGCCGCGTTCTGCTTAACAGACGACATGTTGAACTCGCTGCTACAAATTCATACTCGAAAGATCATTGGAAAAACGCTCAAAATGGAGCGAAATATGGACGGCTACCACCACATGTTTGAACACTTCAAAGCTAAATCGACTACAAAGCTTGTCATTTTCGACCAAATCGAGTTTGCAATCTGTGGCTGCCAGTCAAAGGTCAATCCAGTTGACTACTTGAACCACATCGAGAACCATCGTCACGATTTCCATTGCTCGAAGTGCCAATTCAAAGCCGATAGCCTGATTGAGTTGGTAACTCACGATAGAAACCGCCATCAAATGAGTTCATTGAATTTTCGGTGCCTGGAATTCGAGGATCGTCTCCAGAAAAGTTACTTGAACACAAAACTGGTGTTCAAAAATGGACTTGTCATTGCTATGAGCTGCTTGATGAATACCAAATTCGATATTTTCGCACAACTAACCGAATTTATCGACAAGTTGGTGGCTGCCCAAAAAGAAGAGTACTTTCGCAAGAATTCAGATGAATGTTCACATTCAACTCAGTCTATTCTCGATAAACGTGAAGTCAAAGGTGGAAAGGAAAATCATCATTTAACTGAAGTTGAACTCGCACTTAAAACGCAAGCAAATTTCTGTAATGGCGTCTTCGTCGTTGGCATTCATCGCGAAAAAGATGAAAATTTGCTATCGTACGTATTGAAACTGTGCAGAATGATTCATGTCAATGTGTCAGCAAAAGATATTGAATCTGTTTCACGTCCACCCGGGCCAAAACCGTTTATTTCGGTTCGATTCACCAGCCAAAGCATCAGAGACAAAGTAATGGACGGCAAATCAAAGATAACATTGTGGTCAAAAGACTTTAACAAGAACTCGCGATTGTCGAATGAAGTGATCGTCGATTGGATGGTAGCATATTATTTTAGAGATTTGAATCGGTTGGCAAGAGAATCCGCAACATACTCACAATTGCATGCCTATCGCTGGACCGAACGTGGCCTTTTCGTTCAACGCACAAGCAAAAGCAAAGGAAAATACGTTGTTGATTCGACTGAATTGCAAAACTACATAAAATGAAAGCAGTTTAAATCATTGGTAGTTTAAACATCAGAATGATGGTCTACTCCAATTGGAAGTGTCTGTTACAAAAACTGATATATCACATTGATTTTGAATTCCATGCCAATTCAATACAATTCCACAATTGATACGAATATTTAATAAAAAAGAGTTAAAATTTTAATAAAAAAACAAAAACAGCTAAATTGAATCTTGGCCTTAAAATCTTATTTTATGAAGAGAACTTTGTCTTTGATCGTACTCTAGGCACATCAGGTGTGTTGCTTAATATTCGCTCATTGATGTCTACTTGTGTACACTTGCATGCTATTTTTTGTGTGCCGTCAAGCTCAACTCATTGCAACTATAGGTAAGTCATCAGAGAATCTATGCAATCATTGGATAATTGTAAAACTTTTCCACCTTTAATCCCCACTAATTCGCCATATCCATTCTTCGCTGGGATGTGATCGTTTTCATTTTATAGCAGAGCCAATTCGAAACCCAATATACAAAGATGATTTTAACATATTGAAATTAAATTGAACCAAGTGAAAAATGCTTTATACCAAATTATTTCCATGAGTTAATCTCGATCGTAATTGTATTTGAATGGATCGAAATTTGTGTATTTCTGGGGACTTTTTCATCTATTGGTGAAATTTTAAACACAATTTTCATTGTGAAAATACGAAAAAGTACAAAAGTTAGTTTGAACGCGTATGAAAAAGCAACTTTACCTTAATTTAAACATTACTTAGAAGAGGACTGTTTAGTTAAAGTGTGGCCCGTTTGATAGTAAAATCTCGTACTTGAAATACATTCCATATATGGGATCAGAAACAGCGAATGAATATCGGGCGATTTCAAACAACGAATTATCTAACTCTATGTTAGCCTAACCCTCGGAACTCTGCTTTACATGCATACGTTCGACTGAAACTGGCAATGATATTGGTCAATTCTATACCAAATAAATGAATATTCCAGATTTTATAATAATGGATTTGGACACGCAAAAAAGACAGATAGAAGTACACCACCTATACACAATGTAGTGAAAATCGATGTTTCTCCCGAATTACTTGCCATAATCTTACTAAAAAAAACTGTAATGTTTGATTCGTTTTCATAGATCAATAAATCACAATTGAGATAAAGAACGATTACATCGAGTGATACTTCGAAACTATATAAAAAGAAACGCGTAATCTATTGTTCCGATCAATATACTTCAAGTGATCACTCGATTGCATTCTTTGATTATTACCGCAAAGCACTTGAATCACAATTTGTAACGACAGCAAAATTAACGATGACAACTGAAGCGACTGAGAAACCAACCCAGTCCCTCCAGAACTACCGGCTTTGCCAACTCCGTCGATTGAAAATCAATTGTTAACCTCAACATCAAGAACAACAACCAAAATAACGTCTAGTTCAACGGATGCAACATCTGGACAACCACAACAAGATTACAGTCCACGCGATTGTGCTGGAGTCGAATGCAAAATGGAAACTCCAACACCAACACTTGTTAGTCTTAAAAGCATACATTAAGCTTTCAAAATTCGTTTATAGCCACACTTTTAATAATACCATGTTCTATATAAATTTCATTTATCAGTCTTCTAGTTTCGATCCCGATGTAAATCTATCTGCGATTTTTCCTCAAGTTCCCCAAGGAAGAACCAGACCCGCAAAATTGTATCCAGATAAGCGACCGCAAGACAAAAAGCCTTCTACATTTCGTATCACTTGGAGAAATAAAAACAAACAATAATTGCGGAATCTTAGTTCGATTTGCTCTTGAACTGATGATATTTGTTTCAAACTGGGAAAGAAATGATAGAGGCATCAAATAAATTCAACAAAAAAACGTAAAATTGCCCACTACAAATGTATGAAATGATACATTCTTCACAAATAAAAGTCAAATCTAAACGCTATTTTAGAAATGAATTATTTTGTTCAATTCTTCACCTTAACTTACAACTCGTACATTTACCAAGTACAAATGGATACAAAATATTTCAAATAAGTTCAACTTACTTTAATTCAAAAGGTTCAAATGTGTGAAGTAAAATATAAATTGAAAAAGTGTGATTTCTCTTAAAAATATGTCTGTATGATCTGTGAGAAAGCGAATAATATGTGACTTACTGTATGCCGCTTCAGTCAGATAAAAATCATTATCGGCCGACATCAAAGAAATATTTATAAGCATTTCAAATTGGAATCAACGATCAAACTAAAGTATAATTTTCTTCAATAACTGCACTCAAGTGCAACATGGGTCGTTATATCATAATGCGAATATGAGATTATACGCGTAACAAAACACACCGTGGCAGCAAAGAGCAATATATACCACTACGACACCTTGTTGCCCAAATAGTAATGTGTTGAAATTAACGTCAAGTGTATACAAACAAATTACTATAGCGTTCAACAAGATGTCGCTAGTGGTATATGCTCATTGCTGTCACGGTGTGCAACAAAAGTGAATAATTTAAGAAATGAAAGTGAGTAAAAGTAAAATCATAAGAAAAATATCGAAAAACAACTTTTAATGGTTTTATATGTATTTTGTGTGGAGCACTTTGTCGTTCATCAATAAAACATAAAATTGGATTCGTTTGATATCATACATGATTTTAGGCGTGAACATTTTTGTGAAATGAACAACAACAAAAATGGGACATAATGTGTACATGAACACAGACATATATATTAGTTTTGATCATTTAATTTGTAATGTTATTCACTTGATGCAAAGGTCACACAGAGAGGCGGCTCCACTTTGATAAGTGGAATTATGTGTTGATAGCGTACTTTTAAATTACGTTAAAATATGAAACAGAATGAATGAAGAAATGAAATGATTGTATGTGTCTTCGCAGTTGATTCCGTGCTTTTGCGTAGTCTGGAGGTTTTGAAAATTATTCTTGAATCGCCCATATAAAATAAGTGAACCATCGAAATATGCCTTACTCAACTTTGCGGTACAATTTTTGGAAATTCATCATCTTTGCTTTGATTTTATTTATTGGCGCCCAAACTGCCCAAGCATCGGTAAGGATTTAAATCCATTTTCAACGGCGATTCTGGTTTTGCTGAAGAGTTTGTGGACGAAAATAATCCAAACTAAGCATAATGTATTGTGTACCTATTTTAACAATAGTTGAAAACAAAATCACATTAGGAAAAGAATTTTGCTATTAAATAAAGTGAATAGTAAATAACTCGAGACCTTAGCGTCCATTATTGCATCCGAAAAATCGTTTAACTGCCAATGGGCTGATTCATAACAAGCAATTCACCAACAGCTCTCTTTAAAGTACAAATAAAATTGAAAGTGAAACATCTCGAATAAGTTTCAAGCGGTCATTTCTAAACCTCAGTTAAATTGACCTATGAGCACCGTATCTGCACATCAGGGTCAATTGCTGGATTATAAACATTTCATTCAGTTACTGATTTTCAGTGGGAATAACACACACAGTTCAAGAAAAAAAATTATAGAATCGATTCGAACTAAATGATGTGTTAATGAATTATGATAATACTGCCTTCGATTCAAGGCGCCTTGAATTATTGGAAGAAATTGATTTTCGGCAAGAGAAATATTTCGTCAACTTCTAAAATTACTGTAAAAGCTTCGACACATTTATAAAAACTGTTCTAATACAACAAACCACCATTTATGTTATTATCATAGGGTGGCAGAATCAAGAAAATTCAAATTGTCGCGCTGTTTAGTTCGGAAAAAAAATTCCGAAATTACATTGATTTGCCTATTGAAATTGAGGGCGCTCGCGTCGCTACAGTTGTCATTTAAGTTGTTTTCGGTCTTGCTGCCATCCGATGGCTATTATATATTATCGCAAATTATTTGGTTTGTTTTCAGGGTCTTGAATATTGTCCAATGCCACCAGAGGCACATCTTGGTAGCACATTGATTTGGTATAGATCCAATCGCCCGGATAACATGGTCTACTGGCACGATACAATCAATAAATTTCTTGACGGTAATCCATCTACTGTGGATCTACGTTTGCAAACAATTCAAAGAATAAAAAAGTTTATGGTTTTATAATATTCATTCTCTGTTCCGTAACATAGAATACACTGAACCAAAATTCAAGGAGAATATTGATAGTGAGTGCAACTTTGGTCATTCAGCTGCTGCTGGCAAGTACTGTCCATTTAGAGTCGAATCATTGGATAACTGCTCTCCGGGTAAAACGGACCGAAAATACGGTTTTCCTGAACAGAAACCATGTATTTTCTTAAGATTAAATAATGTACGGCAAGATTGCATGACCTCATTTTTTTTTTATAAATCAACCGCAGTTTTTTTTTACATACATATCTATTTCTATGTTGTTATTGTTGCTGCTTTTTTTACGTGCCAGATTTACGATTGGACTCCTCGAGTCTTCAACGAAACCGATGAAAATCAGATTAGCGATGAGTTCGAACGTTCTCAGTATCAAAAGATGCCAGACTTTGTGAGGGATACTATCGGTTATATTGGAAATCCAGTTGAGGTTTGTATCAATACTCTATTCTTAATCAATAATATAGTAGTTGATTGAATTTGAGTGTGACTTTCATTTGATACCTTCAATTTTTCATTTAACACAAAAAGCGAAACATTATTTGGGTTTCCTGTGAAGGTAAGGACCCAGTTGATGTGGAAAATCTAGGACCAGTACGCTACACACCGCGACGCGGTTTTCCAGCATACTATTTCCCATTCACCAATGTTAAGGGCTATCAGGCACCAGTCGTTGCTGTGCAGTTTGAACGACCAAAGAGTAAGTGTCAACAATGGTCATTGTTGTTGTAGTTGAATTTACAGTTCTTATTTGGCCAACAATCATGGCAAATCGCCAATATTGATTGAATGATCGCAAAAAAAAAGAATCGCAAAAATTTACCCTGAAAATTAATCAAATGCTATCGATTTTGTACCTCTCTTTTTCTTAAACCCTAACAGCTAATATAATCATCAACATCGTATGCAAAGCCTGGGCCAAAAATATCTTGAACGATCCCACCGAACAAGGTTCAGTCCAGTTCCAATTGTTGCTAGATTAAAGTGATTAGTTTCTAACAACAAAAAAATGAAATAGAAATCATAATGCCAAACTAAGCAAAGCCACATTAAAAACTTATATGGAAGAACAAAAACCAGAAAAAGAAAAAGCTGCTTATAATAACATTTGAAAATAAAACAAAATCGTCTAAAAAATAACAATTTCGCCTAAACAAAATTGTCACTTTTTTTTGTTGACTAAAACAATGTTTTTTAAATGACAAAATCATCTATAAATTTGCCATGTTTTTTTTTAAACAAAATTCTTCTGTCATTTCACATTCCCACTCATTATTTAATTGTGCTCTAAAATCGTCATATTCAGTAATCAGTAATCACATTTTCATTTAGTTTGAAATTTAAATATTCCAGGTTTTGAAATTTTTCACATGAAGTGAATTGCATCGTTGGCAATTGAAATTTTGCACCAATAAATCTTTTATTGAAGGATGTTCATCAAAAACCTAAAGAACTCAAAAGTATACAAAGACACATTTGTTTTGATTATTCCATTTATAGCGTTATTCACTTGATGCAAAGGTCATAGAGAGAGACGGCTCTAATTTGATAAGTGGAATTATGTGTTGATTGCGTTCTTTTGAATTACGTCAAAATTTGAAACAGAATGAATAAAGGAATAATTTTATGTGTCTTTGCAGTTGATTCCGTGATTTTGTGTAGTCTGGAGGTCTTGACAATTATTTTCCAATTTTGATACAATTGTTTGATTTAAGTAAATCTTGATTTTCTTCTATCAAAATTTGAACAATAACAATCACTTGAACTTTGTGTGAGGTCGATGAATGTTAGCGATTTCTTTGTTTGCCCATTTAAATAAGTGAACCATCGAAAAATGCCTTATCCTACTTTGCGATACAATTTTTTACGGAAATTCATCGCCTCTGCTCTGATTTTTTTCATTGGAGTACAAACTGCTCAAGCATTGGTAAGGATTTAAATGTATTTTTAAGGGGCGATTTTAGTTTTCCTACAGTGTTTGTGAACGAAAAAACGCCAAATGAAAGTAAATAGTAAGTCAGTCAGGGCCAATAATGTGAGTAAGTGAAAAAAATTAAATATTAAATGGATAATTGTAAACATTTTATTCACTTGCAGATATTTTTTTTCTGTGGGAATAACACACACAGCTCAAAATTAGATTTTGAAATCGATACGAACTAAATGCTGTGTTAGTGAATTATGATGATATTGCCTTTGATTCAAGGCAGAACGTGTTTTAAGCTGATGTCAGCAGCACTAACTGACGTAAGCTCAAAACACGCTCTGATTCAAGGTCCTTAAAATTATTAAAAGAAATTGATTTTGAGCAGGAAAAATTAGTTTTGGTCAACTTTTGAAAATACTGAAAAACTTCGACGCATTTATAAAACCTGTTCTAAAATACAACAAACGACCTATTGTACCATAATCTATTTTTTCACAAATTATTCGGTTTGTTTGTATGTTTTTCTTAGGAAATTTCTCTCGATAATGATATCATTTTCGATGATGGTCCATTGGATGCACTAGAAGACCAAAAATTTGTTGATGAACACAGCTTCAGTGTAGATGATGAACATAATCTTTTGTTAAATGTCAATCGAATGAAGCTTTTAATCAATAATGCAATTGATGATGACGAATCCGGTCCGAATGACCGCAAGAAACGTGCACTCACAACGTTTGGTCGTAATCCTAGATATGATTTCGAAGGTTCAGGCGGCGACGATGACGATGACGATGATGACCTCGTAACACCAAGTTATGGTGATATGAAATTGGAACGATTTTGTGAGTTTCTGCCTAAAGCAATTTTGCTTGTGTAACCCAAAAGTTGTGTTCAAAAAACCGATTAACCATAATGAATTTTATTTAGTCCGCTTGAAATTTAGAGCCAGTTTACTTTGGAATCCAGACTTTGAAGTATTGAACTCAGATGCATTCAAATCGATTGCAGAGGAGATCAACAGTAAGCTAGAGCAATTATATAAATCGAAAAAAGCTTCGTACAGTAAAAACGAGATTCATGCTCAGGTCGTCGAAATTCGGTGAGTAAAAATTGACTAAAGTTTAACTCTAAATTGTGATAAATCAGCATATTGAAAACAAATTGTGTATTGCATATATTGAACCATGATATTGCATAGCATAGTGCACTTGAGAGATTCATTGAAAATAATCATTACTTTCAGTCGTTCTGCCGAAAACGAATCAAATAAGTGTGATGTAGCGGTTATTATCGATTCAGATGAACCGACTTCAGTGAGAAGATTGGAGGAAATCATAAAACCGGCCTTTGATTCACATCGAATCGATGGTTTAATAGTTAAACGTGATAGTTTTTATCAACTTGTCGGCATGAAAGGTAACCTTTATTTTCTCTTTTTCCTAAAATTATGAAAATTTACTTAAAATTGTACGCCGAATTGGTTTTTTACGTTGATTTCAATTTGAATCGAAAAATTCGAAACGGAAAACTGAATAGAAAATTTGTTATAAGCAAATATTTCAATCTCCTAAAAAAAAACAGAAGATGAATGGAAGCGAGACACTGATATATTATTTTCAACCACGCCGTTGCCGGTGAAGAGTACAGAAGCAATTCAAAGTACAACAGAAAACCTCAGTACTCCAATCCCAACTGAGCGAGTATCACAGTCAACGCCACAACCAATCCAGAGTTCGATTGAAACACCAACTCAAGTACCTATTATACGCAATACATCATACAGAATGAGCAAAAGACAACGACCGAAATTGAAGCCATTTAAGGATTTGTACACTGCTGTGCGTGGCACAAACTTCAGTTTAATTTGTGAAGTCACTGCAAGCTCCATTCCAAAGATTACCTGGTCAAAGATGCACGAAGATGGTCTTGGGTTGAATGTACAACAATCTGATGATGTTTTAACCATTTTCAATGCTCAACTAGAGAATCGTGGCGTTTATCAATGTACAGCCGAATCAAACGGACGGATCGTTAAGGCTAGTACGATTGTTAATGTGGAAGGTAAGTTTAATGAATATTGAAAATCGAAACATTTCTTTGGGTATTGAATATTGAATCCAAAAAGTTGTTTACTTCATATTTTCTTACAAAAAATATTTTCCACAGTTCGTGAAGCCCCTATGATTGAAATTTATCCGCCTGAGCCACAAATACTGCAAGTAGGCGAGTTTGCATTACTTAAATGTCGAGTTATTGCTGGAACACCAGCTCCAATTTTGGTGTGGGCTCGTCGTGATGGTGCCCTACTCTCTCG